CTTATATACATTTAATTTTATTTTAAATAATTATTTATTTTTTTAAAAAAAATGATTCATATTTTATTATTGTGCATTTTTTTATTTATTGTTGTTGGTGCCATTTTTTATTATTGTTTTGGAAAGTTCATCTTCAAGAAAAACAACCGTTGCCCTTGCCGTTGCTCTACCATTAAAGGGGAATACTGCCATCATTGTGCCTTTAATTCCGATTTCAGGGATAAGGTATATGTAGAAAGTCTACATCTTGGATACGATCATAGAAACTATCGTGACAGACTAGATGGAATACACTCACTTGAAAGATCTATGCTCTATGATGAACAAGTACAACAAAATCTAAGACTATACCAACAACAAACAAGACAACAACAACAACATGAACTACCATATCAACAACAAATGAACCTAGAACATCACCAGATTATGCAACTACGTCAACAACAACAACTAGAAAAACAACAACTATACCAACAACAAGAACAAGAAAGACAAAGACAACAACAATATCAAAGATTTCAACAAGATTTTCTATTTTATCAAATTCAACAACAACATCTTCAACAACTAGAACAACTACATCAACAAAAAGCTACAAAGACTACAACAACAAAAACAACAACATTTTTTTTGGAGATACTTTTAAGTAATTATTACTTGAAAAAAATTCTTTAGTTGATGTAATATTAGTTGTACCGAACAAATGTGTATGTGTGCTTATTCTAGGTAGTAAGCCAATTAAAAACAAGATAGAATCAAATCAATAGAAAATTAAAAGTAATTAATGAAGAGTTCAAGTAGTTGTTTGTAATTAATGTGTTAAACCATCTCCTTGTATTTGCAAAAGTAATTCACCATTCATTGCCACCGTTGGTTCTCAAAGATGATAGAAAGACATGTTTCGCTATAGAGTAGTTCAGTAAAAAGAAAAGTATTTGTGCAATTCCAAAGAGTTTTGAATATTATGGAAGTAGAAATAGATCGTTTATTAAAAGCAACCCCAAACAATATTACTCTAATCATTTTTTCAATGGTAAAATCACAATTTGCTGATTTAAACTCATTGAAATCAAATTGATAATCAAGTTCAAGATTTTGATGATTTAGCAGTTTCATCACCATTACAGGGTATAAGAACCAGAAAAGAAAATAACATTTTTCAAATAACTATATGAATCATCAGCTTCAGAAAATTTACAAGAAGAACATAAAGAAAAATCATCACCCAGCATCACCAATTGACTCATCATCTTAAATACAAAATGAAAATATTCATCGTACTGGCTATGTACCAAAAGTTGTAAGAGCTCAACAATATAATAAAGATGAAGATAAAAATGAAGAAGACCTTTTAGATTTTGAAACGGATTAATATTGAAATCGAAGGCGATTAAATTAATAGTTTTGATAATTCATTCTATATTTCTTTTTAAGAAATAGATGAAGACCAAATTATTAATAAAATCGTTTCATTCTATGTTTCAATTATTAAATCGTTAAATTTAAGAAAGTCAACTTCATCATCCAAGAACAAATCACATCTTTATCAACATTTCAAATAAGAATAGCTCCAGTTCTTCCACAAGCAGGGGTCAATTGAAAAGAAGAAATAGATTTTAAAGTGACATTATCCAAAGAAAAAGCAAAAAGGGAAAGATGGAATGAAAAACTAAATTAAAACCTCAAGTATTGTATATGGTTTGGAACAAGAAGTTTATAAGAATAGAAAAGAAATAGAAATCAAAAAATAGTATAGTTTTAAATCTAATTGGCCTCCCAGGATTAATTCAAATGAAGAAAATACAAACAATTATTATTATTTAAAATTTTAAATTTAATAAAATAAAAAAAATTATTACTGTATTATTTAATATAAATTTTTGATATTTTTAATAAAAATTATTACTACAATATTTAATATAAAGTTTTGATATTTTTAATAAATTTTATTTTAGACAACTATTACTTTTTTAAGCTATAATATTATATTATTTTAATTATTTAAACCAAACCATGGTGATAAATCAACTTCAACATAAGTTCCACAAGCAGCACAAACTCTTTGTTGACCAAAGCCTTCTTCAAAAGCACAAACATTTTATTGGCAGCAAAGTGATAAGTAACAGAGACGATATTATAACCCATCCATGCATTTGTGCAATCATAAAATGGGAAGTGGTATAGGTATTTTGAATACTATGTTTATTACCTAAAATTGAAGTGATGTTGATGGCTTCAAGATCAGAGATTGAAATATCAGCATTTTCATAATAACTAAATGATGTATAGAATAACATGTAACGAGTCCAAGGATCATCATTTGGGATGGATGGCTCCTATTCATATTTACGAATGGTTTCATCATAACCATGATTTGTACGATAGACAGCATCCTTCATTGGATAACCCATTTGAGTTTGAGCGCCAGTTTGGGTCAGAGTAGGTGAATGTTCATTTGGATTGTTATCATAAAAGAAAGAAGTGTAACCTTTCATAGTTTCTAAAGCATATGCTGGATATTGAGCAGTTTGAACTTCGGTAGCACTAGCAAAACTGTGACACATACCCATAGTATTATTGGTAGATTCCCAAAGTGAGAAAGCTTCATCAATAGTGGCAGCGTTTTCCATAATATAATGAAGTCTCATTGACCAAGCAAAACCATTAAAAGTTACTTTAACAGTCATGGTTATTACTAATACATGAACCATTTAACCAATCTAAATTTCTACCATTAAACATATCTTGATTTAAAGTTTTGCTATCCCAAGTGCTAAAGTGGGAGCATTGTAAACCTTTATGGTGGTTGTGTTCGAGATCGCTAACTATAATTTTACTTTTCTTTCATTTTTTTACCTCTTTTCTTTTTTAACATAACAAAAGTTTATCTAACTTTTTTACCTGTTTTCAATATATTTCAACAAATGTGATTAGTTTATTATGAATACACCATAAATAAAGAAAATAAGAAGTATATGAATTATTATTATATGTAAAAATATTTATAACTGAAAAAATAAGTATTCTGGTGATTATAGAACTGAAGGGTGTAATTTTTAAAGAATAAATTTAAATAAAAAAAATAAAAAAATAAAATAAAAAAAAAATTAATAAAAAAAAATAAATTTTATTATTTAAAAAATAACAATAAATATATTTTGATTGATGTTTATTATCTAATAGGGGAAAAGTTTTTTTATTAAAATATAAATGAAAAATAAATTATATGCAGTGGGAAATGGGTGAAAAAATTATTGTAATTTTAAAATTAAAAAGGTTATTTTTTAATATTAAAAAATAATAATAACAAATAAATGAATGTTTTATTTCTTTTATAATAAAATGTGTAAATAAATATAAATGATAATGTTCCCATGTTTTATTTATAGTTTAAAATGTTTTTTATATATTTTTTATTTAAAAAAAAATAAAAATAAAATATGTAATAAATATTTTTGTTTATAAATATATAAAAGATTACTAATTAAACTAGATAATTATTAATAAAAAATAAAACTATTCATATAAAATACAATAATTTTTTTTAATAATTATGAAGTCGAATTTCAAAAATTAATAATAAAATTAAAAATAAATTTTCATTTTTTTATAAATAGATAATAATAATATTTATTCATCGGAATTAAACCTATAAAGTATTAAAATATATAGAAATAATATTTGAAATTAATTAATATTTTTTTTTTAAATCATTTTTTTACAATTAGCTAGGTATTCAGGATATCATTTAAGAGAGAATTTAATGAAATTTTTAAATCAAAATATAGAATAAATTATAATTCTCAATTTAAAACTATAAAAATAAAAAATAACCTATACAGCTATATCAAATTAAATAAATATAAATTATTATAATTTAATAAAAACATTATTAAACAATTGAATATTTTTTAATTTATTTTTAAAAAAAAAATTTTTTTTTTTATTTTATTTATAGACCATAATATATTGAATATATTATTATGGTACATAATGAGGTATATAATTACAAAAGTTTTGCATTACCTACTGTCTATCAGTAAAGAATATAAGTTGTAATAGTATAAACAGTTGTAATAGTAATGATAGCAATATGAGTAGCGGTAGTAGCGGTTGCGACAATAAAAACAGTAATAGCTTTTTAATTAATAATGGTAATATAACACTTCCACCACCATCATTATATAGAAATTTAAATAAAGAGAAATTTAATTAAAGAGGAATTAAAATCACCACCAAATTATATACTACTACATTTAAAACATTAAATATCGGTAATATTCAAGAGACATTAGATAAGTTTCATTCAAACAGAGCGGACCACCCAAAGATTACCTATGAAGCAAAAAAGAAATATCTCGAGTATTCAAATATTGAAGATATAGAAAAACTATTTAGAGCAATCAGTACATATTCTGCAGGTATACCATTCAATAAACTCTCAATCAGTTTTATATGGAAGAAAGGATGTATATAGTTTAATAATCAAATATGCCCTGATTTTTCGATCCACTATCATATAGCCAATCCATTGGACATTTAATTGTTTTAGGATAAAAATTTATTTCGGCTAAAATAGTAATATGTCATCACAGAGAAAATTTTAAAAATAATTCTACCAAATCTAATTTTTCATCAAATGTTTCACCAGTTTACAATTATACAGGGTTAAAAGAGCATCAACCTAAAAAAGAGAAAGAATAGATAAAGAACGTATTGAAAAAGAAAATAAACTATAATTTTAGAACTCAAGAGAGTATAAAAATAAATAATTTTTTTTTTTATTTATTATTTTTTTTTAAATTATTTATATTTTTATTTTTATCTTAAACTAATTGATATTAATATTAGTTTAATACTAATAGTATAAAATTCTTTTTTTTTTTTTTTTTTTTAATTGATGTAATTAAAGAAACATGTGACTCTATTGGAACCTTTTTTTCAATGTAATTGGGTCTTCTAAATATTTATATTTCTTTGAATTATTATCCTATTTTAAAAAAAATGAATTAATAAAGAGTTTTTTATTATAATATGGTGATATTAATGTAAATATTTACAAAAACTTAGAGTAAAGAAGCCTTTATTCCAACAGAACCTTGTTTAATTGCATGAAGGTGATATGTATGACTTCTACTGGGGCCTACAGGTACAACTTTAAAGAATTCCGATGGAATATCAATTTCGATTATAGGAAGGTTTTACTACATTGACACTTGATTGAACCTTATTTTCCATAATTTTTTTATTTTAAACCAATAAATCAGTAACACCAGGTAATTTCATAGCAATAGATTTTGAACTATCGGTATTTCCAACTTTTGGATAACCAAATATAATTTGAATTTGGCAAAGGAATGCAACAATATTTGGCGCAGCAACCAATAATTCTCTTTCGAAACCACTCTATAAATATTTCTTCCCTTTTTCGATTCTGTCAGCATCGGCTTGTTGAGCTAATGCATCCAATGCATTGACACCTTTAAATGAAGCTAAATTATTTGCCAATCTCTTACGATCATCATCATCTTGACATTGACCACCTTGAAGACGTACACTTTCAAATAGATTTTGAGTGAGTGCACCAATTTTTCTAGATGCATCCATAAATTTACTTTGTAATTTGGGATCTATAATTAATCGTGAAGAACTTTTAGAGTCATGTAATAAATCTTTTAATGAATCTGAAACTGAATTGACAGCGGCGAAAATATCCATTTCTAAATCATCACCCTCTTGATTACAAAGTTCATGTAAACGATTGGCTTGTTGCATATGGTGTAAAAGATCTTTGATTACCATTTGATGAGTTGCTTTTAGATTACCTAAAGTATTTGAAGATATTGAGAAACATTACCATTAATAGTACCAAACTCTTTTTCTAAACTTAAAAGTCTTTGAAGTTCTTTCCAATCTCTAATAGAAATTAATTGTTCACAAAGTTGATCATTTTGTACTTCGGCTGTATAGTGGTCGTTAATGCTTGTCATCTCTTGAAGTCTCTTTCTTGCAGCAGTGCTTCACGTTCTACGAGTTTCAATGCTAATGCTTTGTTTTTATCAATTCCTTCTTGTAAAAGTTTTCCAACTCTTCGATTCTAGTGATTATTTTAGTGATAACTCTGGTTTTGCCTTGACTATCGGTAGCTCCATTACTTTTGGCAGTTTGTAGCTTTGGTGGTGATGCAGCATTATCAACAATGACATTAGCTTCTATCTTTTCGAGGTCAGGTGGAGTACTAGTTGAACATTGTATAGTTGGGACATCATTATCATCAAATGTAACCCATGGGAGAAGATTGTTGTGGTGATTGGTTTGTAATTGCAATTCCTGTGTGGTTTGGTTACTGTATTCTTGATGCGGTTGTACAACTGGTTGCACTCTACCAACGAACGATCCTGATCTCTTACTATTACCTCTACTGCTAATTGACAATGATCCTGATCTACCTTTGCTTCCAATAGCATTTCTTAATTGTAAATCTATAATCTCTGTACATTCTTTTTCAAACTGCTTGCCTAACTCTTCAAATTGTAATTGTAACTTTTTAACCTTTGATCATCATTCCTATCAAAACCATTTGAAAACTCTTTTTTTATATTATCTATTGTTTCATAAATAATATAATTTTGTTGTTGTTGCTGCAATAATTGTTGTTGTTGTATCATTGTTTGTTGCTGGGTTAAAAGATTTCAATCTTGATACATTATTTGATCCAAATTGACCCTATATTGAGTTATTATCCTGTTGTTGCACGAATAAATACTGGTGTTGGTACTGGTACAGGAATTTGTTCTGGTTGTGGTAGTTTCAAAAACTGGTGGAAGAGTTGGTTTAGGTTTTGGATTTGGTTGTTCTTTAACTTGAATTTGGTGATGTTTGGGTGTGACTATTATTTCTTATTGAGGACTGCTTTTGGTTTAGCAGTATATTGATTTTTAACTATTAATTATTATAATATGTTTTAATATTAAATTTCTTAAAGACTTCTAATAACTGAGGACTGATTATTGATTTACCAAGTTAATTAATTTTTTTATATATATAGATGACTAATATTGGGGTATTTAAATATATTTGATTGGTTTTTGGAATTATTTGCTAAAATCCTGTTTTGATAATGGTTCATAACCTAATACTGAAAAGATTTCGGGTAGGCCAAACTCTAATATTCACTTTTAGCTATTAGATGATTTCCTCGAGATTGAAAGACTTAAAAATTCTGCGACTTTGTGACTTTTTATGATAGTTATTGATATTAATTTGAGATTATTATTATGTTTGCAGTATTTACTATTATTTGTAAATATTATAAAATCTCTTTTAATAGGTTCGCTGGGCATTTGATAAACATAGTCTAAATCTTTATATTATTGATTAAAATCCTTTCATTCGTGATATCGACAACAGCAGATCCTGTTGGGGGTATTGAATGGTTTAATTGGTAAATATGCCTTTTGAATATTAATAAAAGTTAATTTAATTTATGTTAGTAATTCTGCGTCTATTCTCTATATTTCCTCAACGATGCCATTTTCTATGTATATGGGTTTGTTGTTATTGTTGTTTTAAAATAATGTATTAATTTACTTACTTGTTCTCGAAAGGCTTTAAACATATTTTCAGTAATGTTAAAATTATTATTATTTACTATTGATTGGATGTGCTATAGTTTATTTTTTTCGATTATTAAAATTATTTATTTATGTTTGTGTTTGTTTGTTGCAATCGAAAAAAATAAATAAAAAAAAAATTAAAAAAAATTAAAAAAAATTATTCACCCATTTTTAAAATAATATTTTTAAAAAAAAATCTAAAAATAAATAATTACAAAAATTTTTTTTTTTTTTTTTAATTTTTTTTTTATTTTTTTTTAATTTTTTTTTTTTAATTTACAACAAACCAACATACACATAAATAGTTTTAATAATACAAACTATGGCATATCCAATCAATAATAATAATAATATTAATGAAATATGTTTTAAAAACTTTCAATAACCTTTATAGAACAAGTAAGTAAATTAATACATTATTTTAAAACAACAACAACAGCAACAAACCAATATGCATATAGGAAGTGGCATCCTTTAAAGAAAAATAGAAACAGAAATACTAACATAAATTAAATTAACTTTTATTAATATTCAAAAGACAGATTTACCAATTAAAACCATTCAATACCCCCAACAGTATCTGCTGTCGTCGATATCATGAATGAAAGGTTTTTAATTAATAATATAAAGATTTGGCCTATGTTTATCAAATGCACAGTGAACCTATTAAAAGAGATTTTATACTATTTACAAATAATAATAATAAATACCAATCCAATTATGAACTATTGCCCAATAATAACACAACAAATTGGTATTGCATAAATTTAATAATAGAGTACAATATTTAAATACTCCAATTTTAGTCATCTATATATAAAAAAAATAATAGTATTAACTCAGTAAATCAATAAATCAATAATCAGTCCTCAGTTATTAGAAACCTTTAAGAAAGCTAATATTAAAACATATTATAATAGTTAAAAATCAATATAGTATCAAACCAAAGGCAGTTCTCATAAGAAATAACAGTCACACCCAAACATCACCAAATTGGACTTATTATCATATAATTAATAAAACGCCTCACATTTTTCAGTACCATCGCTGCGGGTGCTGCTGCAGGTTGTGCTACTTCGGGTGGTGAAGGTAGCACAGGTGGCACAAGTGGTACAGGTGACACATGAACAAGTGGATCAACTAGCATATCAACAGGTATAATAGCAGATAACTCTTCAGACTGGAAAGATTCTTCAGACTCATCAAAGGCAGATCATCATCAGCAGTGGTTCATCAGTTATCGGTTCATCAGATAGCAGTTCATCAGATAGTAGTTCATCATCAGCTAGCAGTTCATAGCCATTAAAAAATATTTTCACCATCTCCCAAGCTTCAAATTTCTAATTTTATTCAAACTATAAAAATAATATTAATGTCTCTGTCATATGAGCATACCAAGAAATACAAAGTAGGTGATCAAATAATACCACAACATCAACAACAACCAGAAACAATACCAGTTAGAACAAATCATTAAAGAATTGAGTAAATGATATTAGCTGCTTTCAGACAAATTAGACAAAATGAACATAACAAGAAATACAAAGTAGGTGAACATATAATAACACAACCACAACAGCAACAAAAACAACCAGAAGCAATAGCAGCAAGACAATACTCATATAAACCTTGTGCACCAAGACTACCTGAAAAAAAAATTGTATGTTGTATTTATTTCGACATAATTGACCCCAATCTAATTTGAGAATGTGGATGCATCCTCGAATGATTATTTATCTCAATAGATACTTTAGAGAATAGAAAATTTATGGTT